TAACAGGCTTAAATAAATTAACTAACTAACTTTTATTTTTTAAATATAGATCAAATTAGATTTATAATTTAAACATAGATAAAATTAACCGACCAAATTAGACCTAAAATATTTTAAATAAGTCTAATTTATTTAAGCTAAACTTGGCCTAGCCCATTTAAACATCTTATTCAGAATTTCAAAAAATTGTCAATTTTTGTTTTTTTAAAAGCAAATACGAACAACATGGCTATTATCAAGTGAGAAGAAGAAAATATCCAATATGGTAAATGGAAACACGGTGCAGGGCACGTGGCAAGCCGGTGATCCTGTTGATACGTCACCCCACTCGCACCCTTGACTCGTAGACCCCGACACCCGCGGGTCATTTTAAAGCGCCACTCCTTCACACGTTTCTTCGATTTCTTCTTCCATATTCTCTCTTCTCTCTCTAATCAAATTCTCTGTTCTCTTTCTCCGGCGACGATCTGAGATTCCGGTCACTCCTCTCGCCGACATACCCTTATTCATCTGTTTCCCGTCGAGTCCTTTCCGATTCATATCGTTTCCCACCTCGCACCACCATGAATCCTGAATAGTAAGTTCCATTTCTCTTCGCTGTTTCCGTTTCTGCTTCAATTCTCGAAAATCCCGTTAGGATCGTTGTTTTTTTTATCTAAACCAAGCTCCATTAGATCTGCCTCAGTCGTCGTGTGTTGGTGGTGAATTTTGTGTTTTGCGAAGTGCTGATTCGGTTTTGTTTTACGTGGTTGATGAAATTTGTTTCGGACGTTGTAGTGGATCGTGCTTCTGGAAACTTCCTCGCTGATTTAGATCTGTTTCTTTAGATGATAGATCCGTTTGCGCGTGTTCAATTATGTTTGGGCTATTTTAAAAATGTTTTGATTCTCTGATCCGGTTTGGGGATTTTCATAAAAACATTTTTAATTTTAGAAAGGATTTGTTTTATCATTTTTTGTGTAATGATGTTGTAATTGCAGAAATTGGGTAGTGTATAGCAAAACATGACAACTTGTACTTAAGCTAAACATGTGTGAATTCTCAGGACTCGGTGATGGTTGTGACTTGTGAATTTCTTGAAAAATAATACCGCGAAAGAATACCAACAGCAATGACTGACTTAAAAAAGTTATTTGGAGGAGGAACAACATGGTTTCATTTTATTCGGTGATGGTGATTAGTGATACTGTATTCTAACTGGGGATTGTTATAGTTTGATTCTTCTGCGATTAGATTTTTTTACTGATGTGAATAAGGGGATTGTTGAAGTTTTATAGATAGATCTATGGATGTGCTGGTTGGGCAACAAGTGGTCCTTCCTAAAACTAATTGATTTAAAAATTTAAAGACATTTTTAGTTATTGATTGTTGCTGAGATCGATAAATGTCTACTACAATCTACTATGGTAATGCTAAATGGACAAAAGTTTTATGGGGAAAAACACAACTTTTGTGCAAAGCTTTTGAAGTTCATGTGAACTTGCGTAGACAAATATTTTATACAAATCTCGAGACAAATTTAATAGTGAAGAATGTGTTGTAGGTGAATGACTTAATCTACTATATGAATGATGTCCTATATACATAGTAACCCGCAATCTACCCTTTTAGACAGTCATTTTTTGTGGCTCGTGTGCTTGTGTTATGTTCCTGTATCCCTGGTCTTCCTCTTAGAAAAAGGATAGACGGTTCCTTAGTTTTTTCCTTTCTTTGATTGGAGATCACTGTGTTGTTTGCAGTGATTATTTGTTCAAGCTTTTGCTGATTGGAGATTCTGGTGTAGGCAAGTCATGTCTCCTCCTGAGGTTTGCTGTAAGTTCTAAGCTTATGTCCTTTTACTTCTTCCCTCTTTAGGTGTACTGTGTTTTATGGTCATTTTTTTTGTTTAATTAATGAAAGACGAAGTTGAGTAGTCCCACTATTCTGTTACTGTGAATTAGAGAATGCATGGTTTACATATGGTGTCAGTGGTAATCATTAATTTGTTTGCAATGTTAAACAAAAGTATTTTCTTAGAGTATATTTTGAAAGATAAGTTACATTTCTTAATATTTATTTTGTTTGGAAACAGGATGATTCATACCTTGACAGCTATATCAGTACCATTGGAGTGGACTTTGTAAGAATTCGTATCCACCATTTAACCTTATTTCCATGTTACTTTCAACACAAATATGTAACAATTCATTTACCATGCTGCCTTGTGTAGAAAATCCGCACTGTGGAACAGGACGGGAAGACGATTAAACTTCAAATTGTAAGTCTATGATAGTAATGTTATTTTAATGTTGAACTTTGACTTGGTTATTTTTTATTCTGATAGGAATGTTTTAATGATTATATGCAAATTTGTTTTCGACATCTAAATTACATCTTTAAATTGTCTCAATTATTTGTATAAAAGTCATTTTGAATGTGCCTAGAAAAAATGCTCAATCTGAAGTTTTCTCCCATGAACTCAAGAATGTCTCACTTCCTTTTTTTTTCTTTATATTTATTGTAATTATCATATGGTTTATTTACTACGAGACTCATTCTAAGTTGTTTCCAGTCACCAATTCTGTCCTTGGTTCATTGGAACAGTAATATTTGAGGGCTTGAGATTAGACATAAAAAGTAGGATTTTTTTTTTTTTCAAACATCCTGCCCCATTGATCTGGGGTTGTTGTTTTGTTGTATTCTGTGATTATTGACAAATTTTTCTGCACTTTTTTAATGTATAGTGGGACACTGCTGGTCAAGAACGTTTCCGTACAATCACTAGCAGCTACTATCGTGGGGCTCATGGCATTATTGTGAGTCTTTTTAAACTGGTCTTTCCCCAGCAATTTCCATTTTTTTATTATGGGAAACACTGGTGTAATCCAGTTACCTTTTTTGCAGGTTGTTTATGATGTCACTGACCAAGAGAGCTTCAACAATGTTAAGCAGTGGCTGAATGAAATTGACCGTTATGCAAGTGAAAACGTTAACAAGCTTTTAGTTGGAAACAAGTGTGATCTCACAGCAAATAAAGTTGTGTCCTACGAGACAGCAAAGGTGATTCTAAATTTGTTTATATTGTATATATGTCCCCCTGACATCTGTTGAATCCTTCCTTTTGCCTGATGTTTTGAAGTTTGTGCTCATTTTTATTTTTCAGGCATTTGCGGATGAAATTGGGATTCCTTTCATGGAAACTAGTGCTAAAAATGCCACCAATGTGGAACAGGCTTTCATGGCCATGGCTGCTGAAATAAAGAACAGGTGCTGTATTTCCGTGTGTCATTTCATTAAATATAATACCAATGTGTGTAGGTGTGAGTTGAAGGGGCCTTGGTCCCTTAAGCATGTGAGCTTTGGTTTGATTCCGAGATTCATGTGTATTATATATATATATATATATAATACAGATGAATCTCGTTGAGAGGAATTCCGACCTTTGTGGCACCTGACCTTATAACGAGGGATTGGTCTCTCACCTACCGGGTTGGGAATACTGCAAAACTAAAATTAAAAAAAGAAATGTCATTAAATTTGTCAGGAAAGGACGTCTTTTTTCTGCTACGAGCTCTTTGTTTTAGTTTGTGGAGTTGAATGAATTTTGTTTAGTGAATGGATACTGACCAACTTATATTGACCTATTTGCTTGTCCTTGGCTATTTCCCACAGAATGGCAAGCCAACCAGTGAACAATGCCAGGCCTCCAACAGTCCAAATTCGAGGACAGCCAGTGAACCAGAAGTCTGGTTGCTGCTCGTCTTAGAGGCGAAGTATTCGTGGTCGTAGACGTTTATGTGTCTCAGTGGCATGTAAAACTAGTTTTTTACATAATACTTTAATATGAAGATTGTTCGTCGTGATTTGCTCCTTATCGTTCAGCTCGTTGTTAAAACTTCCATTCTTTTCAATGTATTTGATTTTAAAAAAACATTGTACAAATTAGGAATATTGGTGAATAGCAGTATTTGCCTTGTTCTTTGTCCCAAGCACATTTTACCTTATGCAATCGCTTCTTCGCGTATTCGTTTACTGGACTCTGTAGGAGTAAAATCTTGTCAATCGGATCCACGCTCGTAAGTTTATGAAATACAATAGATAGAAAACAGGATTTTTTTTATCATCTATTTTAAAGAAGATTCACTTATTATCATTTCATTCTGTTCTGTTATCAGTTAGTGCGTATCTTCTGCATTAATTATTGGGTATATTTTAGGCTCTAGGAAGAACATCTCTAAAGTCACCAAGATAGGACGGCATATATATTATGTTCTGAATTCTGATTCACAGTTCTTCAATTAGTATTCTATAGTAAGAAAGCGCTTTTATGTCATTCGGTTAAGCAATTGGTGCACGTGATAGATTCAATTCGGGAAACACTATCCTAACTACAGCCACAATCAGAGAATAATTTTTTATATTAAAAATAATAATTTAAATAATGTTAAAAAAGTTAAAATATACTAAAAATGCCAAATCAATTCGGGGCAGGACTACCCCATGTAGTGTAGAATCCCCCAATTCAACAATCCAATGTCCAACGAGAAGATTACATGTTGGCTCTGTTTCCTAGTGACTCCAGCATCCACAACTTGAAGTGCAAGCCACACAGCAAGCAATAGATACTTGTGCCATAATAGATAGATGAGCAACTGTCTTCTCAGGGTCAGTTTCCAGATGACTATAGTTGGAACTCCCAACACAATCCGTGTGGCTTTTTTTTTTTTTTTTGTAAATTGTAGCTTTTTTATTTTGACGTTACAAGTGTTCGTCCTTCTTAAGGCTGCATTTGGGTAAGTATTTATTCTCGGGGTGCTGAAAAAACAACAATCAATTGTTTTTTCTCTTAGTCCTAGTCTGTCGAGAGCCTGTGGAATGGACCTTACAACTGTCCAAAAGGATAGCTAACAAGTAAGGTGTGGGTGAAAGGACTTGAAGTTAATTTTCAGCGCCATAGCCAACTAGTTCAACTGGAAATTTTATGCGATACTAGAGAAATTAAGCGCACTGTTCTGAATCTCTAGCATAGTATTCCTGTCTGTGTATAGCTGAACCAAATCAACTTCAAGGTGAATAGCATGACAGCATTGCTCTTGCAATAAAAGCATACCCTTAAATTCAATAACAGGCTGCACACTAGCAAGCTTACCAGTAATCGCTGCAGGAGCAGAACCCATCCTTGAAATGATGAAACCTAGAGGTATCCCTAACAATAATTTCTCTTCCTTCTATAGCTGAGATGTACTTGATTGCAGAGTGACAATCTCCACAAACTCTCAAGTTTTTGAACACCCGGATTGGAACCCCTGAAGGTACCTTTAGAAGTCCAAATGCAATTGCCAATTTCTCACTATGCCATAAAAGAAGCTGTTCTTTAAGCTCCTCTCCGACATCATGCAATGCAAATTCAAGATCTGGCACATAGCCGGCTAACTTCATTTTCTTCTCCAATTCATTTAGTTTTTCGTGTATAGAAGCCAATTCAGGGTGCAATCTGTCACTTGATCTAAACTCATGTACCACACAGTTTATTTCAATCCAGCTAAATCCAGGTGTCTTCACTACGTTATTTTCTTTCATTGATTTTCGGATCCTAGCAACATGGTCCCATCTGTTTTGTGCTGCATAGACATTAGCCAATTGAACATACCCAGTTGCACTAGTTGGATCAAGCTCAAGCAGATTCTTGGCAGCAAACTCAGCCAGGAGTAAGTTTTTATGGATCCTACAAGCACCTAAGAGTGTTCCAAAGATGGCAGGATGGGGCTTAAAAGGCATACTTTTTATCAAGTCTACAGCCTCAGATAACCTACCAGCTCGACCAAGAAGGTCGACCATGCATGCGTAGTGTGCTGGCTTAGTTTCAACTCCATAATCCCTTACTATTGCGTTAAAGTATTGGACCCCAAGATCCACCAATCCTGCATGGTTACAAGCTAATAATACTGCAACAAAAGTAATCCAATCTGGCTTCATGCCTTCTTCTTTCATCTCATCAAACAAATGAAGAGCTTTTTCACCAGCTCCATGCTGAGCATAACTAGAAATCATTGCATTCCAGGTTACAATATCTTTATGCGGAATCTGAACAAATAATTTCCATGCATCCTTTAGATCCCCGCACTTGGAATACATGCTAATCAACGATGTTACTGCCGTCGTATCACTACTCAACGGAGATTTACAAACTAATTGATGAACTTGTTTACCCAGCTGCAATGCTGACAAATTACTACAACCCAACAAGACACTAGTCAAGCTCAAAGAATTAGGCTTAGCCCCAGTTTCTAACAATGTCTTGAAAAGCTTCAACCCATCCTCTGCCCTGCCATTCTCAACATATCCAGCAATCATAGCATTCCATGTCACCAAGGTCTTGAAATACATTTCCTGGAACAATCTTTCTGCTGATTCAACCCTCCCAAACTTCATGTACCCAGTGATCATGGCAGTCCAAGTAATCACACTCCTCACCCGCGCAGCATAAAAACACTCCACAGCAGAATCTAAATCCCCACAAGCCACATATCCCGACACCATTGCACTCCACGAGACACTATTCTTCTCTGGCATTGCAGAGAACAACTTGAGTGCCTCGCCCATTAGTCCAACCTGAGTATAACCCGAAATCATGGTGTTCCACGACGCCGTATCCTTCTCAGGCATGCTGTCAAAGAAACCACGGGCATTGTGGATGCCAAAATTGTTCAAATGACATGCCAACATGATATTATAAGAAACACTATTTGGTTCAGGAATTTTCTCAAACAGTTTGCGAGCATGTTCGAAGTTACCACGTTTCTTGGCAAAGGCAGCAAGGAGAGAGTTCCAGGTAACAGTGGACTTCACTTTCATACTCTCGAACACACGGACAGCAGAATCTGTGTCACCAGATCGAACATAGTTGGTGATGAGTTTGTTCGAGGCAATGACATTGTTAAGATCGAAATTGACGGTTTGGTGTTTGGTTGGTGCAACAAAGGACGAGGTTGACAAAGGGTTTTGTTTCTTACTCCTTAGTAATCGTAAATAATACATATGCAAGAGCTTCATCTGTTGACAAAGTAATGTGTTTCATCTGTTATAGGAGGAATAGCTAATGTACAAGAGCTTCAAATGTAGTTCAAGACTTCAAGTAGAAAAAAATATATATGGGAAAAAAAAAAAAAATAGGAAAGAGAGAAAAAAAAATCAATATTCCGTTGCCGGGACTTGAACCCGGGTCTTTCGGGTGAGAGCCGAATATCCTGACCAACTAGACTACAACGGAATTGTTGATGTAGTTGGATCTTTTAATTATACTCATTTTTATTTCTACTTTATTGCGTCGTGGTTTTTCTTTTTAACGGAGAGATAGTTGTATGAGATATTGTGTTGTGAATTTGTGTTGATTCAACTATAATTATATATTCCAGTACCATCTTAAATTCTGCCACACACATTCACAATATCTTATACAATTAATTAGCACTTTTTCTATCTAAATATATGATATTTTCACTCATAAACATATATATAACACTAGATAATTTGTAGGTGGTTTACTAGAATTCACTGGTTTTTATTTTTACGTACAAAAATACCTTACCTTCTACTAGACAAAAGAATCAAAATGTCCTATACATGATTTGTTAGAGGCTCATGCTCTTGAGAGTTGAGACTGCTGGAAAAAAAATGTTAAGATATATGTGTGCGAAGCTTAGTGAAAAGCTGGACGGAAAGGTAGGTCAAATTCGATTTTTGAGTTTGTGGGAATTTAATTTAAAAAATTGTAATTTATTATTATTGTTGTTGTTAGTTTTTAAAATTAAATATGGTGAAAGCGGGAAATTGCCAAATCATATTAAATTTCTTAGTACTCTATCAGTTTATTTGTTTGTATTAACAACGGTACGTAATCAATGACAACAGCTCAAGTCAAAAGTGATCACTTGAACATAATTAATAATATTATGTATAAATAAATTTCATTACATGATTTTTACAAATTTTTTGGATAATAAGATGTAAAAAAATATAAATTTCAACACAAAGTCTTTACCTTTCGTTTTCAATAAAAATAAGTGTAAATTACTTGAATATATTAACTTGCAAATAACAACACTAAAAAGAATTTGAACAAAGACATTAATATTTATAAAATGATTTTATTACGCAATTAATTTTTAAATTTCTTTTTTCTTCATAAAATAAATAAATATAAATATAAAGAAGATTTAAACAAAAAGTGTTAAAAAATCAAAGTGTAAATATCATAATAAAAGTATGTGTCCTTTTAAAGGATACAAATATAGATCCTTTTAAGAAAGAAATAGATAAAAAAATTAGACTCACATCTTTATTTTTTCAATGAGACCCATGTCTCTTTATATTTATCTCTTTTTTAAAAAGTATCTAAATTTATATTCTTTAAAAATAACACACTTTTTGCTATCCATTTCTGTTCCATGAGCGCAATGACCGAGGAAGAATTGCAGTGTTATCAATATTTCAAATAGGTATGTTTTTCAGGGCTCTTGCCGCACAGTAGTTTGAATTTTTGCGAGATAAGGTTCACACATTTCATTCTATTGTTATTTATAAAATAATTCAGAAAAAGGTTGAGATTCTTTCCTAATTTGATACGTACGCGGCAATTGTAAGTGCCAACTACTGGCCTCTGACCTCTGTTAGTTATATGTGGAAATAGTTTACCCACACGCAAAACACTCAATTATTTTTAACTTGTGTCAAGTGACTTTTTGAAAATGATGTGTATCCGAATGCAGAAGAAGAACTATAAACAAAGAGAGACATGCATGACACACGGGCTACATACATATAACGTGGTTTGTATTCACATTTGAGTTTAGATTAAGATGGACTGGGCAAATAACCAGAGATAGAGAATGATCCCTGTCTTTGAAGATTCACACTCAAGGATTTAGCCTTGTTAGTATATAATTTTTTTACATTAGAGCTTTGGTATTGCATTAATTTAGCCAAGCTTCTCTTTGCATTGGCTCTAAATGGACAATTAGAGGCCAAGAACCCATCCACTAAGTGTAGGTAAGCCTCCAAGTCATGACAACATGCCATGTCAGCATCCGGTTTCAAATATGGCGACATCTTCGTATCCACACGTAGTTCTGTCCCCACGTGCGAGTACTCATCCAGCCTGTCAAGGACAGCACCACCAACTTTGGAGGTCCTTAATTTTTGCTCAACCTCTTCACTCACCAACATCCCAGGAACCCTTGTGATCAAATCTTGGGAATTCACTATTCTCAACACTTTCACATTTTGGGCCATGACTTTATCCCCAAAGGCCTTGTTACCCACCCTGGGCCCACCAAAGGAAAAAACAGCCACTGGTGGTACTTCTGGGCTACAAGTGCTGATCTCATCAGCCACCAACAACGCCAGTGCCGCACCGAGGCTGTGTCCTGTGACCGTTATGCTTAGGGTCTCACCTTTGTACACTTCCATGAGCCGCTTCACCTCTTCGATCACGGACTCAGCCAGGCTCGGCACGTGAGCTCCTCTTGTCTTGTACAGGCTCAAGAACCCGCACTCTACTTTGGGCTTGGGCTTGGACTTTTCTTGGGCTTTTGTGTCATCGGTTACTTCGATTAAGTGCGCTCTCATATTCTCCGCCCATTCAAGACACGTGGCGGTCCCGCGGAGAGAGATAACAATGTCCCTCCGACCCAAACGCGCGATCTCCCTCCAATCGTCGCAAACGGCGACGTATCCCATCCAACTTGACCTTTGGGTCATCCATCCAAGATCCGGGGCAACTTCGTCGACCCATTTGGGCAACCCGATTGATGACGTGGCGTAGAGGCTTTTTGTTACTCTGTATGACCTGTCCTGCAACGCCACGTGGCGAGGAAACGGAGGCTCCTCTGCTGACATGGCAGGGTTGGAGTGAAAGGAATTGTACGCGGCTTGGACGAACTCGCCGTAGCGCACCACCTCTCGCCGAAGATTCTCGTCGAGAGGGTCGAGCATGCCTTTCCAGTCTTTGCTGCCGTGGTATTCCCTCCACCGGCTTCCGAGGGCGTTTCGCGGCGAGTACTCCGCCGTCTTGGAGAGCAAACGCTGAAGGCGGTTGAGGTGGCGCGGTGACATTTCCTCGGTGGCTTTCATGTCCGACCACATCCTCGCAAGGTTTAGACCTTCCAGAACGTTCTTTCCTTTCTTTTCCGTTGTTGTTGTTGTTGTTGTTGTTGTTGTTAAGTCATGGCTTTCGTCATTGTTATTTTGAATTGGTTGTTGTTGTTGTTGAGTGGGAGGTTCCGGCGATTGTTTGAGGAGGAGTTTGTCGAGGTTAGCGAGGTGCAACCGTGTGGACTCGGTGGTGGAGGTTGGGAATGGGTTCAAGGGTGAGGCTCGGCATCTGAAGCTGGCGCGTCTTGTTTGGAACATGTGAAGGTTGTTTGCGGGTAGGGTTGAGCTTATCTGCATCATGGTGAATCACAATAACAATATTAACGGTTTGTGCGTGTTAGCCCTGAAGATGATGGATGAAATAGCAGGTGAAGACAGCGTCAATTTTTAGAGACCACTTTAAACAAACTAGTGTTCGAAACGGATCTAGGTGTGGGTATTTAAAGAGGGGTGTTATGTTATTGCCATTGGTTTTGGTCGTATATTACGGACGGAACCAAGTTTCGTGGGTGCCACTTTAACTTTATTAAAAGATGGAAGTGAGGGACACAAAAAAGTGCTTGTATCAAATGGACTTTCTGTTCGTGCTCGGGTTCCCAAAATCATAAGTGGAATGTAAAGTTTTTACATTATTATTTGAAAAAAGTATATCTTATTTTAAACGACGTAAAATTATGTTATTTTAAGAGAGAAGAAGAGAGAAATCATGAAAGAGAAAGAGAGGGTGGATAAAAAATAAAATAAATGTGTAGATCTCATTTCTTTATGAGAGTAAAATGACACAAGTTGTATTATTTAAAAGTACAAATATTTTTCCTTCATTATTTAAGGAAAAAGAGTGTGTCGTTTTAAAAAATACATACTTAGATCATTTTAGAAGAGAGATAGATACAAAGAGGTGTGGATCTCATTGAAAAAATAAAAATAAAAAAAATAAAAGTGTGAATCCTACCTTTTTGTGTTTACATTTCTTTTAAAATGACTTAAGTAAAGGACACACAATTTTTTTCATTATTTAATAGTGAATAAATATATTATTGAAGATATAAACTTTTGATGATTGATTTTGTCAAAAATTTTAATAATTTATTGATACATGATTAAATAATAATATAAAATAATATTACGTAAAAAGACATCAATTTTTTCTTAAGTCAATAAAGCATCACAGTTAAATTCTATCAATATGAGGAGAAAACAAAACTTAAATTGGAAGTGTTTTTTAAATTTAGCTTTTCCTTATAAGTAAAAACTTAGCTAAACTTAATTTTACAAAAGCTCTTATCATAAAAGAGATTTTTTTATAATAAAGAAAAAAAATTAAAAGTTAAATTTTTTGAGAATGAGCTTCTTTGTAAGATATATATATGTCGATTTTTTGGAATTGTCATATTTATTTTTTAATTACACAATTATTCTAAATTTATATATATATTATCATTTATCCTAATATTTTACCCTAATAATAAATCATTTCATCTCTTTCCCTTTAAAATCCTAAAACCAATTTTATACAATTATCAAATGCATGGCTTTTAATTTTATTTTTAAAATTTTTATTTTTAACTTAAAAGTAATTTTTAACTTAAATTTTTGTTGCCAAACAAACTCTCAATATTTAATGCTTTACGGCTTTTCCCACAAAAAATAATAATAATAATTAAAATCATGAAGTGCTAACAAAAAATTCTACATGAAAGCCCGTGGTCGTGTTCCACAAAGGCAAGCAACCACTAAGGAACGGGATCACTCGGTTTTAGTCTGTATTTACTGATTCATCCCTTTTGATTATAGATGTCAAAAGCATAGTATTGGAAATATGCGTTTTGTTTGACTTTTCGTATCACGCCAACTACTTCTACTATAGTTAAAATTTGTGTTGTCAACTGTACGGTCAGCGATCTTTTATTCCTTTTCGGAAAAACTAACATTAAAAAAGGGGGAAGACTGAAGCGGATATAGTTGAGAGTTGTTGAGGTCAATATACCCGAGTGAATTTGCTTTGTCGGAAAGTATTCACGTATATATAGTCTTCAATTTCCGCTACTACATGGTTGTTACACTTACGAAATAATAGTTTAAATATGTACCAAAAAGATAGAAAATAGTTTAATATAAGCAGAACTTGAAGGTAGTTATTGATCCTGAATACATATGTGTGTACATATATGTTGTATGTGTGTGTGAAAAACTGAAAATTCTTGTGAAGTCAAGTCATGTTATTACTTTCTCCGAAACACTGGGGCCATGCATCTCAATAAATCAATCTGGTTAGAAGTAGGTGATTTTTCCTGCAAATTTATTTGGGGCAAATTTGATATTTTATTATAGTGCGTTCGTTGGCACCAAGTTATCTCGTATCTGATATTTGATTCAAATGCTCAAGCATGTTGTAATATAGATGTTGATCATTTCAAGTTTCAAGGGCTCAAGGCCTAAAAAGTTTGATCCGAGAATATTGGTTACAAAAAGTAGTTTGAACATTTTCACCGGAAAAAAAGTAGTTTGAAGATTGAATACATAATAAATAGAGTAATTCAAGTCAAATTGCGCATAGGGAAAATTAATGGAAAAGAATTCCTAGCTTTAGACATTAGTCTAAATTTATTTTTGTTGAACTCAATCAGGCCAAAGTATTACGTAATTTCTTACGTAATATTACTTGCGTTCTAAGTTGTAGTGAACTAATTTATCAAAACTAGCTAATAGCAATTCAAAAGTTTTAACGAGTCCGTCCTCGCTTTATAATGAACCCCTTTTTGAATAAATATACATATCATCTTGGTCTCTAAAAATTGCATGCAAAACAAGAAAACGTTATCAGTTTTGTCAAGAACATATTTTTGTCCAATTGTCTAACGCAGTGTGTACATGAAAGAGGCTTTGACCTTCAGAAAATGCCGCCGGTTGTAGTTGAAATCTGGTCAAATATTTAATATTGTTCTCTTGTCTTCTTCTTTTTTGGTATCTGTAGGTAGTTTTCCATTTTCCATTTTCCATTTAGTGTTTATTTACGTCACAAAGCGCGCACACACACATATATATATATTGGTCTGATTTTTACAAGTATGAAACTAAACTTATTTAAATTCTTTACAAAATGACTGTTATTAAATTGTTCTGTAGAACTTCCAGCTAATTAATCTGTGTGTATTCTCACTTCGAAATGTAGCTAAAACTAATATTATATAGCTACGTACTTAAAAAATAATAATAACAAGGGTATTATTGAATTTCTATTAATGTTAAAGTATGTAGTCATATGGTGTACCAAGATGAATATACCAAAAATATGAAGATAGGAAAGATAAAAAACCACTAGGATTGATCTAACGGTGAAGAGTTTGGATAGGTTATACTATGTTAAAAAAAAGAATTCGCTTTTTCTGCCGTCACTGCAGATAAGTTATATGCAATAAGCCTAATACAATATTGTTTTGAGGCGAAAATCATGATATTTTTGTAATTTTAATTTATTTCAGGATTATTATAGTTTTTATAATACTAAAGGCATATTTTTTTAAAAAAGTCATTTGTGTTTAAGTTGAGGTTTTAAAGGACAAGTGTATTTCAACCTCTGATGGTTTTACCTTGATTGCTTGTCTTCCAATATGAAGTCAAAAGTGACATTAAATTATTGTGTTCTTTCCACTAACAAGGTGGTGATTGTAACCTCCACTATATATAACACTACATGTACATGTACCTGAAAATTCTGCCGAAATATTCTTGCAAAGGGTACTACATTTAATAATTGATTATATGGGTTGGAAGCTCCCTCTCCCACCATGTTACAACTTTGTTAATGGCGCAATATCTTTGTGAAATAATTTTAAAATAGTTTTGCTATATCCTCTTAAAATATCATTTATTAATTTTTTTTAATATTTAATAAATGGATTATTTAACAAAAAATATTTAATACTGAGATATAAAATTAAAGACATCAATATTTTTGTTTGTTATAAAAAAATTTTAAATTTTTTTTTTAAATTGTTCTATCTTTATATATATGGGCAACAATATATAGCTAACCGCCATCATTTCCATCCACTTCTTTTTTCCTTTTTCTATGTTACCCCACCGCAAAATTAGCACTGGGAAAGTGATGGTACCACACTATATATGCAACTAGGGATGAAACTGGGCCGGGCCGAACTGACCTACAGGGATCTATGGCTCGGCCTACGTCAGGTCAAACCTGATCTAGTATATTTCGTAAAATAGGTCGGGCTTGGGCTTTAAAAAAGTTTGTTCAATAAAAATGTCGTAGGCTCACTTTCACAAGAGGTCTGACCCATAAGCCTACAGTCGGCCTATATCTTACTATTTATTTTAAATAAAATAAAATAGAATAAGTATGACTTGAAGAAAAAATAAAAGATATAAATTTAATCAATTGCAAATATTTATAACTTAATTATATTCGATTATATTTTAATAGAAATTCGACTTTATTTCTTATGTAAGAGGAACCAACATCTCAGCATGTTAGATTGTGTATATGAATATATTAAAAGATTTTTGGGAGATGTTATACTTACTACAAACATCATGAAGTGTTTGTTAGATTCATGTAATTATTTTAATTTACATAATATGAATTTGTTTGTTGGATCTGATGAAATATATGTTATTTAGTTTGAGCATTTTGCTTTTGAAATTGACTTAATACAGATTGTATGAGTTTTGTTGTGATTCATGATTATGTTTGGACGTTGAAATTATGATTTTTGGTATAGCAACAGAATTTGAATATTTTGTGAAGTTGATTCATAGTTATGCTTGAAAGTTAAAAATTAATAGGCAAACGGACTAGGCCAGGCCATTTGTTATTTTATAAACGGGTCAAGCCAGACTAACAGTTAGACTCGAACTAGGCTTGAGCAGAACCAAATTAATTTTTTTTAAATAGATTTGAACTTTTCGGGGCAAAACTTGACTCAACCCAGCCCACTTTTACTCCTATATGCAACTTAACAAAAAAGTGACTTGCAAATAGTCCACAACTCGATGATGGCTAATGGATTATATCTATCATCAACGGTAAATTAACAGTGCATATACACCTTTGGATACATCCATTAACTCATGTTTCCAATGCCTCCATAAACCATATCTCTATTGCAAGGTAGAAATTAGTATTTGCAATGCGCTATGAATCAATTTGTATCGATGAAAAAGTAATAAATTTTAACGTTATTTTATTTACATATGATGATTTTAATTTATTAGTTACGTGAGCTATATATCAAATAAAATTAACGTTTAAGACTAACATTGTAACTTACATTGATTTA